TGGGAGCATGGGAATGCAAAGACAACAATTAACAACCTCTCAGTCGGACTCTGAAACAAGTTGAAAACATGTGAATCTCTTTCAAACAAGCTAATCGGTAATCCACTTTTGAAATTAGTTGAATCGAGATTGTGGGAGACATTGACTTTTTCAATTGTGTAGGCCAACATTGTTTATTGAATTTGCTTTACAAAAATTGTAATGTTTATTTTATTAATGTCAACCAAAGTCAGCCGACATCAAAATATACAAAAAGAAAATATTGAATTTAATTATTTTAAAATTAAAATTTGAAGTATATTTGAAAGAAGAAATTTATAAGATTTCTAGGGGTATTTAAATGCAAAATGGCCCCAATTGGTTACATGAATTGGGGAAAACACAGGAAAATACGCACAAAAAAAATTTGTGTAAATTTCTAAAGCCCAACCACAAATGCATACGTCAATGCATGAGACAGGACGTTTAAAACTGAGTTCTTAAGTATGACTATCAAATTTTAATTTATGATCAAGAAGTCAACTTTAATTACTTTCTTCAGTCAGTCTATTAAGTGGCATCCCATCGAGCGTGTAACTAACAACTTGAGCAGAGCTACGATGAAATGACACGACGTTACACTAAGAGCAATCCCATTGGATCAAATTCATTTTACACCATGACAAAAAAGCAAGTAAGCCATGCAGTCAGCATTGAAAGGTCATATCATTATATGTCAAGCACAACTTGACATCATTAGCATGCTTTAGTACGTTGGAATATAATATAGCACATGGAAGGTCATTAATAAATAAGTTAAAAACGACTGGACCCCTGGAGTAACCCAGTTCTTTTACTAAGATACTCAGAAATCGAGGTAAGAAGGTTTGTCGGGAACCTATAAGGTTTAGCTTATGAAGCTAGAGACACTGATTAACGGATTCAAAGGACTTTTTCACATCAGTTTGCGTTTTATTCTCAAAAAACCCTGCTGGAAAGGTGAAATAATAGACCTATATAAGTGTTCCAATGAACTGTTACTATTTTCTCAAATGCCTTTCATTATTAAGGAAAGTGTTAAAATTCACCAGAAGTTTTTACATCAGATTTTGTGCTATTTTTATGGTGAGGTATATCCTTCCAAACAACGGGGAAAGAACAAGTAAATAATTTAAGTTTATACCTTGTTAAACGTGGTAAAGAGATAACTATTTTTATTCTATTTGAATCAATGTTCTATTTTGGATTTCTTTAAATCTTATAGGTTTTTCTTAAGAAAGCTAAGAAAGTGCACAAATTTAATCTGATGTTTGATCCATATCCGTATTTATGTGAAACTCGCAGCAACTTCAATTGCATACCTTAAGGGCATTTTTAAATGTCTAAAACTGTCAGCTCTCAAATTACTTTCACGAAAATATGCTTCAATGGCTTTTAAGAGCAACTCCGAGTATTTGCTCCGCTTCCACCAACCCCCCAAGTCGGCTCATGACTCTGAGAATGTCACCGAAGCTTGCCCGTTAATTGCACCACCCTGTAATCGCCCGATTTGGCCCCCATTCGGCGTTGTTGTCTGAGCTCAATGGCAACGTCGAAGCCATGAATTCATAATAAGTTGTCGCTGCAGCAGCAGCCATCCAAATGACGTTGGCAAAGGAAACTTGACTTGCCTTGAATATTGTTTGACATCCTGCAAGCCAACACGCTAACATTGACATTTATTACTAAAGCACGCTGTCCTCATCCTACACAGCGCATTTCACTCATCACAAATCAAGAAATATTTCAGTTATTTCTCGATTTGCATATATTTAATCATCAGCTTGACTAACATCACAAATAAAACTATCTTTGAAAGTCCTTCTGATATTTGTCACGTCGAAATACAATGGATCCGGAGATGTCTCCTCTAATGCGATGCACATTGGGAAAATCGTTCAAGACTTCTTTAAATAAATATATTACAAAATTTTGAATTTTCCAAAAATAAATATGAAACCCGACTTCAAAAATATTCCCAGAAGCGTTTAAAAATGAGTTTAATAATAAATCTATAACATGATATATATATATATATATATTAAATGTTATTCAAACATTAGTTGACTGCTTATTTCAACACTAGAGTAATATATGTTTAAATCATTTAAGTTGTTATTCTGAGGATGCCTTTGCATTTGTTGCAATGGCATTTCAACGGGGATTGCTCTCCTTTTTTCGGATTGACCGCAAGAACAAACGGAAGCTCAGTTCACAGTGGCTCAGTGGCTGTGCTCAGCAGTTGGAGGTTGTTGCTTTCGGTGTGTGGCATAGTTTATGATTACAATATTTTTCATAGCATACTTGCAGGCGACTCGTAAACAACAACCGACATTGCCAACTGGCATTCCCATGTGCTCTGTTTGTATAGTTGTTGTTGTTGTTGTTTTCATCGCTGTTGTTTGTTTGGCCTTTGCCCTTTGCTCTTTTATTTGCTTATCGTACCTTCAGTGCTGTGTCCTTTTCCAAGCATCGTCACCGTGGCAGTTACTCAAACCAAACACACAACAAAAAAAAAAACACCATAATAAGAACCTGACTTTCTTAATTTCAGTTTAGAGCACTGAACAAAAGTAATTTTTTAAAGTGCTGAATTTTCTTGAAAGCTTCAAAAGTGTTTTTTCTTATTCTTGGCTACTTTGAATGTAATTTTGTCTTTTATTTTTTTTTTTAGTCTAATTTGGTTTTTTTCTACAAAATTATGTATTTGAGATCATCCAATCCAATCCAACTTAATGCAATAATTTTTTAATTGCATCATAATATTTATGTGGATGTTCTTTTGAAGATGCAGTCTAAAATGACTTTACATTTCTGGATACAGAAAAATGCACACACATCGATGATTTTATAGCCGTATTCCTCTATTACAATTTCATTCATTCTTAAATGTCTAATAATTGTATTTTATTTAAATCGAGCGTTAAATATAGTTATGACACATGTTCAGGGCACGCGTCTTTCACCTCTGCCGCCCAACGCCTCCCAACCCCATACAAATTTAAAAAGCCTGTAACTTAATCAGTTTATGCACTTAAACTATCAAATCGCTTCAAAAAAATTGCTAGAAATTTCAAGGGCTGTCCCCAAAAGAATCAGATGTTATTAATTTTGAAAGCTATACAATTGAAAGATGGCATTACCGAACTGGTATCAGAGTATTTCTCAGTCGGTTATGTCTGCCTAGAACGTTCTCACTTTGCTTTCCATTCAATTCCATTGCAATTAAGACGCGACGACTTGTAGACGACAGCTGTTCGGTGCAAAAGAAGTAGGAACAATTTGCATCGCTAATGATTCAAGTGGGTCTTTTATCTGTGCCAGCCACCTGCCACCATCATAAAATTCTCATTAAACAATAAAATCAATGTGCAGAAAACTGATTAAGACTGTAGGCGGCCCTTAAATTACCACAAATCCTCATCATTGTTGTTTTGATATCAACTAATTTCAAATATATGCCTGTAGAAATGCTTTAGTAGCAAACTTTTGTAATAATCACATCAAACTTAAATTTTACAAAACTCAAATATATCTATGCGGAGCAAATCTTTTAGATTAAAGATGCGCTAACCTTGGAATTTAAAATTTGTATATTTAAAAATTTGAATGGCTTAAAAGTTAGGTTCCAGTTCCGATTACCACCAGCTCAAAAACATGTGAATGTGGCAAGTGTATCGAAGTAAGATCGACATAAGAAAGTTTTTATTACCAGAATTCATCTATCGAGCGACTATGCTGAGATTACATTTAAGATATGACATTTTGATCCGATTCGAAATGCACAAACATACATTGCAGAAGGTTAATTATATATGTATATAATAAGTGCGAATGTGTATCACGACTTTCGATTGGAGCACGCTTTCTGACTTCGCTGGATGTGGTATCCAAGCACTTTTCGGCTTGTACAAGTAGAACTCGAGAGCTTAGCAGTTATTGTGCCGTTTGTCCAGTGCTGGCTGCTCGACTGCCGCATGAAAATGTAAATTTGCTCAACAAAAAAATTCGAACAATGTGTGCACAACAAACCCTCCTCTTCCTCTTGCTCCTCCTCCCCATTCTATGCGGCTATCCGTTAACACGTAACCTGGCAAGCACGGAGTTACCGCAAACATCCTGTGGATGGCCACAGGCTGAGTGGGGCATGGCTGTGTGGGAACATGAACTCGTTTCACCCACTTAAAAATGGCGCTGGACAGAACGGACAGAGCTCGCCACCACTTGGCTTACTGCATAAATCATACGCCAAGAACGCAAAGCCCTGCCTCATAGCCTCATAGCCCCATAGGATGCATGGATATGCGATGTGGGCCAAATGAATTTGTAAACAGGTGCAAATTAGGTCAATATTTGTAGAGTGGCGACAGCTGTTCGGAAAGCCAAAGGCGCCTGTTGCTACTGCTCCGTGTCTAAAATAGTGTGTGTGTGTTTGCGTGTGTGGGTATGTGTGGGTATGTGTGTGTGTGTGTGTGTGCGTGTAAGTGTCGCATACATAAACATGAGACATGAGCCATGAGACATCAGACATGAGACGTCGACATCAGTGACCCAAAATTCAAATGTTTATGCGGGGCCAAAGAAAGAGGAATTTACCAAGCAATGATCAACATATTGATCAACATAGTTCTTGTTGTTTTCCAATTAGGAACCACAAAAACAATTCAATACAATTATTCACATCATTTCGAATTGCTCACTTTCAAATTCATCAATGGGTATCTAATGTAGTTGTAACTGCTTTCCAAACCTTTTCAGATAGAAATTTTGCCCACGAAATTGCAATGCATTTCATTTGTGGAACCTAAAAACAAAAAAGTCTGCTGAGAGCGAAAAAAATTTCACGAACTGGCTTACACCTTTATTTAAGTAGAGTTTTTCAATATAAACAAGTTTTTTCAATGTGAAAACAGAGTTTTAAGATATTACAGATTCGTTGCTAGATAGATTGTATATAGTCTCGAAACTTTCTCAAAACTTACCTCAGACATTTTGGGTTATGTTGCTGCCGACTTTGTTCGTTTGTTTGTTGTTGTTAATTATTTGTTGATTGGTAATAGTTGAATTATTCAGGGCTTCTTAGCTGCAATCGATGGCAGCTGCTGCTGCACCATGCTACAGTTGCATCCTGGCGAGACATGGCGAATGAGTAACATTCGGGATACCTAATGCAAGTTCGTTGCTGCTGCTGTTGCTTTTGCTTTTGCTGCATGGAACCTTCATGCAACAAGTGGCACGGCATATTTCCAGCTGCTGACCGCCTCATCGCCGCATGGCTGCAAAAAGAGAAACATCCAACACAGATTACAGTCTGCACCTGGCAAATATATCAATAAAACAAAACAAAAACAAAACAGGTAACAGGCCAACTTGTCGAACTCATCGAACCCGTCGAGTCCAAGAATCTTTGGGTGATAAATTTAAAGACGTCACGGTTTGGATGCCATTTGCTTGTGCACTTTTTGTTATCACTGATGTTATAAATCTTTGTGCTGTTTTTAATCAAGCGTTGATATAGATTGTTCTAGTCCTGTTTCACTACGATTGATTTATGCAGGCAACAAAGCATTTATCGGCTAAAGTGTTGCTTCCATATTTTCTTTCTAAAAATATTACATAATAATTTAATAAATAATCGCTTACATTTTTATAGCCTACATTAAGTGTTTAAGTATATACGTATATAGTTCTTCAGTAGCAAAAGTCGGGTCGACATAATCATGCCACAATTCCACCTGTTAAAAGCTACCCCTTTTACCCATTTTGTAATGGATACAGGGTATAAAAATGGTATATTGCTCGTAACACTTTTCAAATCGAATATCGTACTACTTATTCGAAGACTCTGTCCAGAAGGCCTTATGAAAATCACCCGTTTTGTAAAAAAAGAACAAAAATCGATTTCTAGTTGAAAAAATACGGATTTAAAAATTGAGGTTTGCATTTATACTTTTTGTAAGTATATTTCAAAAAAGAAACCGAGTATTTCTGCAAAGTACAACAAGTACAAGAAAAACCGAATATATTTGGGATTGCCAATTTTGATTTTCGGGAATTTATTTGGGGAAACCAGAAAAACTTTCTGGTTTTGGGAACAGTGTAAACACGGTTCTGAGGATATGCAAATAATAATAATAATAATAATAATAAGCATAACAATGATTATTATGTGGCATAATGCACATCAATGTCCCGCTTGAAGCAAGACACACATTAATGGGGCACACATGCAAGCGCACACAACACACACACAAAACACACACATCGGAGCAGTGGGGCCGCCACGCAGCAAATAATTTGAAATAACAATCGAATTGGGAAATGACTTTATTATAATAATAACGAAGAACGAGGTCGTTGGTAATGATTACGTTTTGGGGGTACCTATGGGAAGCTCACGTGTAATTACTGATGAAAATGTAAATAGATCAGATACATTTCAGCAAATGCGACAACAGTTTTATTTCTAATGTCAATCGTACGTCTAAGCTGAACTTCGACAAATTGTTGCCCACTTTAACTATACAAAATCGAATATGAGTTTTGTGCACTTGTCGATGCGAAATAAATCACCAATAATGCAATTTCCACAAATAAATATAAATAAAAAGCCATGTCAATATTATAAATTATCGCTTTTATTGCTGTCGGAACTAGATTTCGATCGATATTAGGGAAACAGGAGAAGTTATTCGGAAATGATTGAATTAAAGTCAATCCGCATTTGGTACACGAAAGCTGATAAATATGTAGCTCTTATAGTCGCTCATATAGACATGGCTAGAATATATACTTTACCTTGTGCCTTTAGCAACTTCGGTATATTTTGTTAGCCTTATTTTAGTTGGTAAATGGTATACAGATTTCATAAAGCTACATTTTTACTGCTACACACTGTTAAATGTTGACTTTTCAATATGAAAAATACACTTTGTCGTTTTTCCTTGTAATTTGAGTAAATTATCTTTAACTAATGACAGTTTTACCAACTGTTTAGCATTCCACAGACGACATGGAGTCGTTCACGGTACCAGCCTGTGACCTGATGATGATCGCATTTGTGTTAATGGTCTTAATCAAGTCGACAGTTCAATTGTCGATGTTCAATTGGGATGGAAACGTTCAAGTTCGAACGTAATCAGTGGTGGAGTGCTGAATTTCTTCCAAGAATTGTTTTCACCGTGAAATGATTTCGAATTGAAACTCTGACCTGTCGTTGAACAAATTTTGTAGAGCTTGAAATTTGATTGTAACCACAAGTGTTGTATGTTGGTGTGCAAATTTTCATTATAAGCTGTACCCATTGTAAATGGCTAAAAGAGGTATTATGAAGTTGTACAGAAGGAATCATCTCTGCCCTAATAAAGTATATATTTATTTGAACAGCCAAGCCGGTCTATCCATACTTGCCTGTCTGCGTTTTCGTGTCTGAATTTCTATGTGTAATAAGGATTATGATTGAGTTAATTTTATTTTCTTTATGATTTAACAGCTGGATGCAGGGTATCTTCTAGCAAAACCCCCTTGAGTAATGCATGCTTACATGTTGTCCATGTCGTTTTCTGCCATAACCAACGAAATTTGAGCGAGTGAACAACGAACAATCAGCTGCGGGGGGCAACCAAAAACCAAGAAATCAAGTGAGACAAATTCACAGAAGGCCCAGAGACGAAGGCCAATACACATTCCACACAATTTCATCACGATTGCGATTCACCGGAAAAAAGGGCTGTTATGAAGGTGTGCAAATGCAAACAGGCAAAATTAGAACTCTTTAAACCCGTTAAGTATATATTTATTTATATGTATAATGTGTTGTAATTTTAGATTAAGGATTAAGTATAAAATAATTGATTAAAAACTATAAAATGTAGAAAAATAATTCAAAATAATAACTGGGAAATAATTGGGGAACGTAACAAAAACAAAAGGTTGGAGAAAACTTCGAAAAAAAACCCAATCAGACCAAAAATGTTCAAAAACAGAGGCGTCGATCTACCCATTCTCGTCTGCATCATCCGCAAACTACAGATATTTTATCTTTATATATATTAAATATACATATACTTGGATGTAAGCACCACAAATGTCATAGCCGATCCAGTCGGATCACTATCACTATAAAGATTAGATATATACATATATAAGGATATATAAGATAAGATCCCATCGGATCAATATCACTACAAATATTAGATATAAACATATATATAAAATATATAAGGATATATAAGATAAGATATCAAGTTCTTGAGTATGAAAAAGTTTTTTGTATACCAAGATATCCAAACCAAACCAAGTCAATATGCGTGTTTTAAGCTTCTCATATGGACAACAAATCCTAAACTCGGGATTACAATAACTAATAGATTCCATAATTAATAAAATATAAATAAAATTAGATGCAAAAATATAATCGTTCTTACTTGTCTTTTTAATTTCTAGGCATTGAGAGATTTGAGTGGAAAATATTATACTCATTTTCCATTTTCTTTGAGTGTTCAGGGTATATGACACCAGCCACTCTTGATTGGAGCACTCTTCATTGTTTGCTTTGTCATTGTAGAGCCAGACACTTTATACACAACTCCCAACGCCTTACTTAGGGTGTTATGAAGTTGTCCAAAAGTGTGTGACAGGCATCTTCGACCCCACAAATTTGGCCATGTCCGTCTGACCTCCTAGGCGAGCTCTCTCGACTAGCGCATTCTTATTCTCTTTTCATTTTTGACTCATCTCTGACGTCACATGAATAAAACGTTTTTATGAGTATTTATTGAAACTAGTTTGAGGCCAGCCTGAGGATACAAAACAAAATTGAATTTGTTTTGAGGCGGTTGAGTCTGTAACTGCTGCTGTTTGGCAGCTGTGCTCTCATCTGATCAGATACATTATCTCCGAAAGCTCCATATCAAATTACATTGCGCTCAGGCACTTGAGAAGCTTCGTTCTCTACTCTATCTCTCTCTTTCTCTCTCGACTGCTTTTGCTGCTGTTGTTGTTTTAGTTAGCAACCATTGTCAACAGAAGCTGTGACTGAGCTCCCCACGCTGTGCACGCTGTTGACGTATGTACAAATGTATGTATGTACGTATGATTGAATGTATGTATGTACGTATGATTGAATGTATGTATGTACATACGTCATTGTATGCGCTGCGTTGCGTCTACGCTGCAATTAAGTAGTGTCGGGTGCGCTATTCTCGCCCACAGACAGAGTGCACTCAATACTCTCAATGCCTTCGCTTTCGCATTCGTTCTCCTCCTCCTATCTCGCTCGCTCACTCGTATCCTCTTACTGTCTGTCTCATGTTTTCCACTTGTCGCACTTGACTAACAACAGCAGCAGCGGCAACAGCAGAACTTTAAAGCGTTTTGTTTTTTGTAACATTATTAATAGGGATTATGTCATTTGTCAAAGTGCATTTGTTGGCTGGCAATATACGAATTGCAGCTTGAAAGGGATCATTGTGGATTGCGAGAATAATAATAACACAATCGAATAATAATATATATTTTTTATTAATGTTTACCATTTGATAAGTCGTGGAATTGAAAGCGTATGTTTTTTATTTTCTATGGCTCGATAAATATCGATCCATTTTACAAACGATAACATTGGTCAATCGCTACGGCATATGGCTTATCACACAGAGCGACACCTGGCGGCAGGCATTGCAATCAACGATGTGAAGCGCTCTTCACATAGGCAACATCAACATCAGCATCATTTCCAGCTGTTAGTTGATAATCAAGACATTGTTGCGCAGATGTTGATGTTACTAATTTGAATGCTCTGCCATTTGTAGCGTCAATCTCACGCATCTTTCATAAGAATTCAATATATACCAATATATATATATATATATACATATGTGCCTACAACAACGCATCCTATTTGCAAAATAGAACAGATAACTACAAAGATTAAATATATTGTGCGAATCATTCATTAAGCTATTTAATATTTGTTCGTAGGGTATCTGTCTCGAGCTGAGAGAGCTATCAATGTTTGTTGCCTTCGCTTCTGGCGCGTGGCGGCTTTTGCTATGATTATGCATAAATTTGATATTAATATTTAATATGCGGCATTAGCCCATAATTGTGGCACAGTGACAGTGACAGTGGCTAGATCCAAAATCCACTAATACAATCACACGCTCAGCTCTCAGACACACAATGAATTGTCAACATTGACAGTGAACTGATTTTATTTTATTATATTTATTATCGCACTGCAAACTTGCTCAGTCACAAATTACAATAACAGAATATA